ACTGGCCAGGCACCCCAGTGGGGACCCCCACCCTGATCCAGGACACCCTTCAGGGCAAACCAGCCGGCCCCCAACCATGCACCAGGCCTCCATCCTATATAATAAAAGGGTAATATGCAAACTGACCCTAACAGAACGACTGGGAATGACTGGTCACTATGACACACTGACAACCAGGGGTCAGACACGCAATGCAGGAGCTTCCCTCTGGTGGTCAGTGTGCTCCCACAGGGGGAGCTCTGCTCAGCCACAAGCCAGGCTGACGGCTGCCAGTACAGCGATGATGGTGGGCGCCTCTCCTGCCTCCTCAGCAGCGCTAAGGATGTCTGAGTGCAGCTTAGGCCTGCTCCCCGCTGTCAAGTGGACATTTCCCAAGGGCTCCCGGGCTGCCAGAGGGATGTCTGACAGCCAGCTTAGGCCCAATCCTTGGGGCACGGGCCTCAGCCAGTAGGTGGTCATCCCCCGAGGGGTCCCAGACTGCGAGAGGGCACAGGCCGGGCTGAGGGACGCCCACAAATGCACAAATTTTTGTGCACCGGGCCTCTAGTTAAGAATATAAGAACTGAAATGAAGAGTACAATAGTAGAGCACTAGCCAGTTTGGCTCACTGGATACAGCATTGGCCTGTGGACTGAAGGATCCTAGGTTCAATCCCCAGTAGGGCTTGTGTAGGAGACAACTGATCAATGATTCTCTCTCATCATTGATGTTTCTCTCTCTCCCTCCTCTCTGAAATCAGTAATAAAAAAAAAAAGAGTACAACAGTAGATTAGATGGAGCAGAGGATCAAATCAGTAATTTGGAAGACAAAGTAGCAGGTGTTTCATACTTGCCAAGTAAACAGCAGGACTTTTTATGATGTGAGTTAGAATGTATAATTTGATTGTCCAACTTCTGCTCCATGGAGCAATATAAACCATCTCTCCAGGGAAATAAAGAATTTGGCTAAATTTAAATACTACATACATGGCATTTGCACTTACCTAAGTTGCTATATATTGCACTACAAGGATTCAGGTCTATAGGATCTGAAATGTCTTCTTTGTCCTCTTCCCTTTCCAGTTCAGGTATGGACAATGCTGGTGTGCAGCTTCCACCATCTTGCTTCACAACAACAGTTCTTGGATCCCAAGGAGAAAAATCCTCTGTCACTTCATGGCTCACATGACTGAAATAAATCAGAACACTGTCACACTGGTATTTAAAGGTCTTGCTAACAAAATGAACTGACAAACAAAATAAGACCTGTAGCATGGAGGGATGGAACAGACTGACATACCTCAATATGGGATGGGAGGATAAGGACAGATAACCAAAGAACTTATATGTATAGACCATGGACACACACAATAGGGTAATAAGTTCTGAGGGGTGGGTAGGGGGTGGGCAGAGGGGGTAGGAAATGGGATACATCTGTAATACTATCAATAATGAAACAAATATAACAATATTAATAAATAAAGAATATCTCTATACATAAAAAGTAAATTAATAAAAATAAAAGTCTTGCTAAATTTAGATTTATGGAAGGCATATACTTGCCATAAATGTAAATAACTGGCCCAATAATCCAGCAATGGGTCATAAGCCACAACATGCTTGTGTGAATATAAGTAGTCATTCATGCAGACTGATGCTTCTATTTATCTTGATTCATAGATATTGATCATTCAGTTTGGTAGAGGAAGTATGATAGTCACAGAAGGAAGATGTAGAATAGCAGGTAAAAACTGCAATAATTTTTTTTAAAGGTAGGAGGTGGCAATTACAGTGGTGGTAGAGGGAGTTGAATGCTTAATTTATTAAAGACAAATATACTCAAGTATTGAGCATATTTACTATATGATAGTACTACTACACTAAAATATACATTAAACACTTTACTATTTAGTATATAGTATTTACTGCACACTAAAGTATTTACTAAGGTATTTAGTAAAGAATCAGAAATAAAGTTGAGTTAGACTACAGTGGAACCTCCTTTCTCGAACTTAATTAATTTCCAAAGACTGTTCGAGAAGTGATTTGTTCAAAAACTGGATTCTTTCTTCCAATTAGAAATAATGTAAATAGAATTAATCCATTCCAAACCCCTAAATGATTCCACTTTAACTTTTCTTATATACAGTGCATGCTTAATGTAATATATATATATATACACACACACACAAACGTACTAGTGGCCCATTGCACAGATTCACGCAATAGGCCTTCCTTCCCCTGGCTGCTGGCACCAGTCTTCCTCCGGCACCTGGGATCCAGGCTTTTGGTCTGGCCGCAGCAGCGAGACTTGGCTTCTCTGCTCCGGCTGCTTGCAACTACTCCTTTTTTTCCCAGCTCCTCGAGCGGAGGCCAGGGCTGGCTGGAAGCCTGGGTTGCCCCCGGCAACCCAGACCACCAGCCACTCCTTGAGCGGAGCCCAGGCCCCAGCCACTCCTTGAGTGGTGCTCAGGGCGGGCTGGAAGCCTGGGGCACCCCTGGCAATCCAGGCCCCCAGCCACTCCTTGAGCGGAGTCTATGGCCAGTGAGAAGCTTGACTTCCTCTGTCGCCGGGAGCAACCCAAGCCTGCTGCTTGCTACAGCTCCGTGGCTGCTACCATCTTCAGTCATCTTCAGTATTTGCTCCACGCCTGTGTATGCAAATTAACCGCCATCTTTGTTGGGTTAATTTGCATAGTCGCTCTGATTGGCTGGTGGGTGTAGCCGAGTGGCAGAGTGATGGTTAATTTGCATGTTTCTCTTCTATCAGTGTAGATATATATAGAGAGAGCCAGCCACCGTAATGGCCATAATGCCCACTGTAGCCAGCGAACCAGCCAATCAGGGGGTGGGGCCGGCCAGCCAATGTCACAGACCATCCCCCCTGCCAGCCTGCCTCTGATTGGATTCTCCTACCCTGATCAAGGGTGGGGCAGCTGCCCAAACGCCCTCTCCTTTGCCCCCACCACCAACCCCACCCCCAATCAGCCAGCCCTACCATGATAGCCCTGAAAGCTCCTCCCCTGGCTGGCATGCCCCTGATTGCACTGCCCACCTTAATAGGGGGTGGCGCTGGGTGGCCAACCTTCTGCAGCCCCTATCCCTGTCTGCAACCCCTGGACCCCAATAGGGGGCGGGGCTGGCCGGCCAACCTCCTGCATCCTTCCTCCTGGCTGGCCACAACCCTGATGGGCCTCACCACCCTGATTGGCCTGAAGCCCCTCCCCCTGGCTGGCCCTGCCCCTGACGAGTCCCCAACCCAACAGTGGGCAGGGCTGGCCAGCCAACCTCCTGCAACCCCTCCCCCAACACAGCCCCCATCCCAGATTAGCCCCCCTACCCCATAGGGACAGAGCCAGTAGGCCCACCACCCACAGCCCTTCCCCATGGCTAGCCCCACGCCCAATAGGCCCCCCAACCTCAATCAGGGGCAGGTACCCCTGGCCAATTGCCTGTGACTCCGCCCTGATTGGGCCCCAATCAGGGTGGGCTAAATGGGCAGCTTCCCACCATCTCCTCCTCCAGACAGGCCTAGCCCTGACCTGCCCCAATAGGGGTCGGGCAAGCTGGACCCCACCTGTGTACGAATTCATGTACTGGGTCTCTAGTTTATAAATAAATACTTATTTTCCTAAATTTATCAAAACACCCCAAACTAGCTGAATTTTTAGTATATCACTACCTGGGAAATGCTATCACCAGCTAACTGCTTTCTGTTGGATAAATTAACAAAAGTTTTGCTACCTATTCAGTTGCATGTGAATGTTGTTTTGAGAGCACTTTCACACCCAAAGCAACATTAGCACTCTTTATGTTTTAAAATTGTGCTAAACACTGACTTTGCCAGCAATAAAAGCATTCTCTACTTTGTTGACAGAGAGACACTTTTTGTCACGCTGAGGTTGTCAGGTAGAAAACCAAAGTTTTGGTTGAAAAACCAAGACATTTCTTTCTGTGAACAACTTGGTTGAGAACCAAATTGATCGAGATGGGAGATGTTCAAAAAACGAGGTTTTGAAAAGATAAGGTGGAAAAAAAGAGACTCAAGCACAGCAGCAACTGGGGAAAAAAACTTAAAAAGCAGGAAAAGAGCCTGAGGGGGCTTTGGGACAAAATGAAATGAAACAACATCTGCATAATAGAAGTGCCAGAATGACAGGAAACAGCAAAGGAATAGAAAACCTGTTTGAAAAAATAATGACAGAAAACTTCCCTGATTTGGGGAAGAAAAAAGTCACACGAGGAGAGAAACCAAGATGGCGGCATAGGTAAACACCGGAAATTGCTGCCTCGCACAACAAATTCAAAAATACAACTAAAAGACAAAACGGACATCATCCAGAACCACAGGAAGGTTGGCTGAGTGGAAATTCTACAACTAGAAGGAAAGAGAAAAGCACACTGAGACTCAGAGGAGGTGTGGAAGTGCAGAGGTACGGGGGCGCATGTGGCAATGGTTGGCAACTAAGGACGTGGCTGTCTTTTTGAATTGGGAGGGAGTCACAAGTTCCCGACTGCTCTGAGCTCCAGTTCCGGGTGAGTCTCTAAGGACCTAGACTCATACGGGGAGAAACTGGACTGTCTGGCAGTGGGCAGAACTCATAACTCGAGGGTGGTTTCTCTTAAAGGTGCTTGCAGCGATTGCCAGGAAGGGCTGAGGATAAGCCATAGCTGCTGGCTCCGCCCTGTTGATTCTCTGAGACCCCGCCCCACCCAAGCTGTGGCAGAGGCTTTTGCATATAAATGCCCTGGCCCAGGGTCCTCAAACTACGGCCCATGGGCCACATGCAAATACAAATATTGTATTTGTTCCCATTTTGTTTTTTTACTTCAAAATAAGATATGTGCAGTGTGTATAGGAATTTGTTCATAGTTTTTTTTTAAACTATAGTCCGGCCCTGCAACAGTCTGAGGGACAGTGAAATGGCCTCCTGTTTAAAAAGTTTGAGGACCCCTGCCCTAGCCCTTTGCAATCTGGAAATTACCTAACGAACAGCAGCTGGGACAAACAGAGCCAGAACTTCCAAGAGAAGGTCCAAGGCCCCACAGCAGCTCACACTGCTTCACAGCTGGGCATCATATTGGCACCTCCAACCCCAAACAAGGAAGGGGAATCTGCAGATCTCCTCATAGCCCCTGCTGGGTAGTCTCAGGCAGAGGCGAAATTCGCACCTCCTTAGATCCAAGAGCCAGTGTACCTACTGGTTAGAGTGGGACCATCCAATTACAACTACTCAGATCCATAAAGGACACACTCAGGGGGCAGACTCAGTGAGCACCAAAGCCCCACTGAAGCAAGCAAGTCTTGTCCCAGAAAGGTGTCTTCAGCACAGAAGTTCTCCCACTGTAGATACAGCTGATTCTCTCAGCCAATTGGCCTGGAAGTCAATTCCTCCCAGTGGTACTTACAACAATCAAGGCTTAATTACAACAAGGCTGTGCACAAAG